TGTGTGTTTGTGTACGTGTGTAGAGTTATAAAAAACTGAAAGTAAGTGTAAATAGGCTTATTTTGAGCTAAGTGCATGGAGATAGTGGGGGGTTTCACATTGTGAGCGTAAACTATGTCAAGATGGTTGGTGTTGCTCGTGTTTCTGTAGCCACTGTAAATGTTCTGTGGATAAAATATTCAACAATTTAGCCCACAAGTATCTCTACTCTGCTTTAGCATCATTCCTGTAACCATGAGCTACATGACTACTCCAGTTTTAAAATCTTAAATTCTAAAAACTATCCTTTTTTTTCTAAGTTATGAATTCCTCTCATTTTGTCAACTGTCTTCGGGCTTTATTTCCTTTCCAAAATTTCCTTTTCTCTCTTGCCCATCATTGTTTTCTTTCATGCTCTCTTTTCCTTCAATCACACCTGTCCAGCAAACTTTAAAACTTGGATCAGTCATAAAACTTGACTTCTTTCCCATAATGTGGCTACCAAACATAGGTGGAAAAAGTCTTCTCTTTGGATTATATCCACTATAAATTTATGTTTTCAACCCCAGATAGGTCCTCAGTGTTGTCTGACAGTTCTGTATACCCTCTTCATTCTCTAGCAGATAACGTTGCATTTTATTTTACTGAAGTATTCGAGACCTTCAGGCAAGAACTCTCAGCTTCCTCTTCCTTCACCTCCATTTTTTTTTTCCATCTGTATCAATCCTTTCTTTACCTGTTCTTTTAATTCTGTCTTTACCTATCTCCTGAGGGATCTTGCTTTATTATTTCTTCCCTTATTATTCTTCCCTTTCTGCTCGTTCTTTGTTTTCAGCATGTAAACCTATCCCTTCCTGGATACTGTCTTGTCTTCTACACAGCCCTGTGTGTGGAGTTTTTCAGGGAAGGTTTGAGGAAAAGTCAAAGGGAAAAAAAGTTAATGATCATCATGGTGAGAAAACAATGGAAGTGTTAGATCATGAGGTCAACTCTAGAAAGGAAAGAAATTGAAGCCAGAAACAAACTGATAGTTGGGGGAAAGTGGAGTGATGCAGTTACTAAAACATGCTTCCATAACTCTGCTATACTTATAATGTCCCATACCTGTAATAAGTAATTGTCTTATCTTTCTCCTCTACAACTGTAAGCTTCTTGAAACAGTGATGCTTCAATTGGCTCATTCTGTCACTTGTTTGCTAATTAATTAATCCGTGCATGCCTCAGTTTACTCATGCATAAAATAGAGATAATAACAGCTATCTCAAAGAATTGTTATTGACAAGTAAATGAATTAGTAATTGTAAAGAGCTTACAACTGTAAAGAGTTTAGAATATTGCCTTAGATATAACAATGCTATGTAAGTGCAAGATAGGTCAGTTATCAGTGTTCACTATATATTGAATGAGTGAGCTGTAGCTCTCTCTAATAAGTATTTCCTTAGTCAGCAAGTCCTGACAATTCTTGCTTTTCATTTTGCATGCCACTACTTTTATTCTAGGCTTTTATCTCTTCTCTATTCTTCTGTACCTTATAAAATGCTGCTTTAGTCTCTTCACTCTTCTCAAAAACTTTAGTCATTTATAAATCATATCCTACCTCCTTCACTAGGTATTCAGGTTTCTTCAAGCTTCCTCAAAATTGTCTTTCCATTTTCCTCTTAAACTTTCCTGAATCATTGACCATTCACCCCACTTAAAGCAGTCTGTTGTGTATTTCATGAACAGATCACCTATTTTCTTACCTCCATGCTTCTGTACCTGTATTCCCTTCAGCCTAATGTACATTTCTCCTTTTTTTTGTTGCTCCCTTTATAAATTAACCATAGATTTTTGACCCCATTGTCTTTACCTCAAGGATATTGTGGCTTTCTTAGGAAATGACTCATCAGCATTATTTCTTATGTGATTGTAAATACTTATTTCAACAGACTGATAAAGAATTGGCTAGTGGTGAATACTTTTTGAAGGCAAGTCAAAAGAAGCGACAGAAAATGGAAGCAATAAAGGTAACACTCTGTGTCTAGCTCACAATGTTAATAGCAAAATTCATAGAAACTTGAATTTTTATTTAACTATAACTTGTTTTACTAATGTATTTTTTATTAATAATGTAGGCCAAACAAGCAGAAGTTCTCAGTAAGAGACAAGAGGAAAGAAAGAAAGCTTTTATTCCACCTAAAGAAAAACCAGCTGTGAAACCTAGGGAAGGTAATGTTTGTTTTCCAACTCTTCATAAAATATAAAAGTTAGTTATATAAAAAGTAAACCCATAGCGAATATATCTTAATCTCTTTGAGTGTTAACTAAAGAAATATCTTCCATCAGTTTTCTTAACATTTCATTAATCACTAATCCTAGGGACAGGAGACACCTGAGGTAGTTTACAACTTACTAGTTTATAATTTATTGTTCTAAATACATATTCATTACATTTTATTTGGTAAAACCTAATGCCTTTGTAAGAGTATCCGAGACTGATAGTCTTCTCCTGTCCGGACCTCTGGTTGTGCTTGGGAAAGACTCTTTGTTTTGAAAGATATAAACCAGAGCAGTGACTCCTATAAAAATAAAGGTAAAGCCGTGAGATCCCTAAACTCTGCTCGTATGTCTCTTAAAAAGAGCTTATCAGAAGTTGTGCTTTTCTTGTCTTTGCTTATGTGATCTAAGGCTTAAAGTTTGATCTCTTATCACCTTGAGCTAAAGGACACCAACAAAATAGGAAGGTTCAGGGTCTGTTAAACAGATCCTCAGGGGAAACACTCTTGTGTCTTGTCTTCTCCAGTCCTAGCCTCATTTTGATTCATCCTTTCCTCGTTTTACATTTTCTTTTCCTCTAGTAACATTTGTATTACTCCTAAAGTAACTCTACAAAGTGCCCAGTAGCACAGTGAGGGTAGGGGTATCAGTGGCAGCATTGCACATGACCTGTTGGTCAAAACCAGATACAGCATTACTATTTTAGTATCTTATATTACATCAGTGTTAACAGCTATAAAAATACTATATTCTGTGTAGATCATTGGCTATGTAAAAGTTAAAAATGTCATAAACATTATATTTCCAGTCTGTAAAGTCAATTACGTACTTTGAAGGTAGTTCAATAGTAGTTTAATCTCAGTGTATTAGGGTTAAGAAGATAGCTATTCTGCTATAGTGGAGGCTTCACATCTTTGCTCCTAAAGTTGCTGGGTAGTTCGTAAGATGACATTTCATCTTGTGATTCTTTTATACTCTGAATACTGTTCTTTAAATGGTAAGAACAAGTTGTGTGTTTTCACTGCTTCATTTCTCTATTTTGTGGAAGCTTTTGGCATTGATTGGATGGTTGAGTTCTTTTAGAAGGACCTCTAAATACTTTAAGATTACTATTTTTATTACCAGAATCTTGTTAAATTCTACTTATTCATTGAACTAATATTTGAAAACTTTTAAGTTTGCATGTGGTATTAGATGAAGTAGATTTTGACCTATAACTTCATGATTACTTAATGTTATTGAAGCTAGAAGGGCTACAAGTGATAGTTTTCATGAAATGCAATTTTAAATTATTTTAACATGCAAGATGGAAAATTGGCCTATTAATGAGTGCTCTAAAGTTCCAAAATATGGAAAGATTATGAGTAAAAATAATCTAATCTCAAGTATAATTAATGGGAAATGTAATTTTGGTATAGTTGAATTCAGTAATTGGTTCATAGAGTTAAACTAATGCCATTTTCATGTATACTTTCACTAACGTAATTTTAAAGTACTTTATTTTATGGTTTTTTTTTTCTCTTAAAGGAATTTCTAACTTTTCTTTAAGCACATGGAAGGTGTTTTATATTTTATAACATGACCTTCCATTTATACCAGTATTCTGAAGTTATTGTTCTAAATACATATTCTTTACATTTTATTTGGTAAAACCTAAAGAATTACATATATTGTGTTTTTAATTTGTCTAGCTTCTACTGAAACTAAAATTGACGTGGCTGCCATCAAGGAAAAAATTAAGAAAGCAAAGAATAAGAAACTGGGAGCTCTTACAGCTGAAGAAGTTAAGCTTAAAATGGAAGTAGATGAAAAGAAAAAGAAGAAAAAGTAACATTCAAAAAAAAAAAAAAAAAAACGAAAACCAGTAACCCTGAACTAGAACTTATTGAGCTATCTCCTTTTGTAAAGGATTTTGAGATATTAGGGCATTAGTTGCCTTATATGTAAGAAGTATACTCTGATTACTTTTTTCTGAGTTTGTTTTCTTCTTTTAGTGTTTATGTATGCAGCCATTCTTTATAAATATAAATTATATTCTCCATGTGTTTTTTTGAAAAATTTTATACTAGAGAGTGATATATATGTCTTTGTATACATTGCAAATCTGTTCCAGGGAGGTTTTATCTAAACATGATTTTAGGAGTAATTCCTTAGATTGTTTATATAAACATTTTAAGATGTGGCTATTGTAATTTTTCATCAAATCTAATGTCTGTGCTCTCTTTATTGATAGCAAGTACACCTTTAGGCTTATTCCTTTTTGTATGCTCATTTTATGTTCTGTTCCAAAATTAAACAACCCATAAGCAAAAAAAAAGCAAGGCCTTTTAAATCAAATCTCTTCATTCTGTTCTGGGTCTGGAAAAGTGATAAACCAGGAAGACATCAAATTGCAAGAGAGTAGAGGAAAAGCAGATTACTTAGAGTTGAATCAGCATGCAACATGTTATGTAGAAATGTTTTTACTAATGAGGGCTAGTGGAGTGATTTAGAATCACCTAAATCTATCACACTCTTCACGGATTTAGAAGCTGAGGCACCTAGGACGAGGTTACTTACTGAAAATCACAGCTTTGGCAGCCTGAAAACAATGCTCATTCATAGAAAAGTGGAAAGTAAAGGTGAGTTTATCCTATAGAGTCAGGAAGTTAAACAGTTTCTTCTTTTGATTATAACTTTATTGCGGCAATATGTTTTTCTGAAATGTTTTAAAATTAGAAATCACTCAATTTTTATTAAAAAAGAATTATATATGAATGAGTTTCTCAATTTTTTCCTGTATTTTATTAGTCCCAAAGAACTAAATGAGGCTATTTGTGCTTGACTAAAATTGTAATAATAGCAGTCAGTATTAGAATTGGCGGACTAACAGTGAGGAAGAGAGATAAATATCTATTGCGTGTCGATATCGGCCAGTCTGGATACACAATAGAGTAGTAACCTGTGAAACAAACATACAATATCCTCTTAAACGCTGTTTCTCATAATGCAGTAACATAATTCACAAAAATTTTAATGAAACAATTTAAGATTTATATACATACGTGTGACTTTGTCTCGCTGTGGGTTACCTGTAAAGTCAGAAGAAAAAAATTTAAAAAGTAGGTATTGGTGAAGTTCTTATTTTTAAAAGTCAAGTGTCTTTAACCATTAACTTACTTTGGCCTTATTGCAGTGATTTTCAAAGGTTAATTCAAGATAGTTTTGTGCTAATTGCACTAAATATTTTTAAATTAACTTTTTATGTAAATTTTATATATATATAAACTTTTTATGTACCAGTACCATGAATGGAAAATCATTTTATATACCATAACTAGCAGATAATAAATACAATTAAATTTTAAAAAATTAGGATTTTAAAATAATCAGAGTGAGCAATTTATTAAAATATTTTCCTAAAAATAAGTTCTTTCCTTAGAAAAATGAACTATTTATGATCAGGCAGTAATAAAGAGACAGTGGCCTCTTTTTCATCTATTCCAGTATATCATTAAATTATCAGTAGTAGGGCATTTGGCAATAATAAAGTCATAATTATGCCTCTTTTTTCACTGAGCTTTATTCAGAATATGACATTCAGAGCACTAGAAAGAAAACTCCACATCTGCCTTAGCCTTCTTGATACTTATTTTTATTAAATAGATGCCTTTTCCACACCAGTTCTCCAGATGCTATTGTATTACTGTGGTAGAACCCAAGGAGCTGACGTTCTGGTTACTTGCAAGCATCCCTGATCATCATACCTGTCACTGGACTTTGTCTATGGTGAATTACCATGAAGCTGTTGCTCTTTTGACTTTTCTTGGTGGCAGTTATACCCAGTGAAATCAAGAATGGTTATCTTAAATATAATTTATAAATGTTAAATATTAAACATGAATATTGGAACAAGTGTACCCATGCATTGGCTAAAATCATCTTATGTACCATCAGTATAGTCAGCACGTTTTGTAAAACCATCTGGATTTATTGAACCTAACAGCAGTGTCTAGATGACCATAAAGGAATTTTTCCTCCAGTATTTGCAATAATTTGTCAAAGATGAAAAATGTTAAATAAAATCATTTATCCTCTTACCCTTACCACCATGCAACTTAGTATGTTTTCCCTTGAACTTTCTTAAGAGCTCAGGGGCTTTTTATTATTGGACTATAGCTTTAGTTCTCTGAATTTTTTTCCCACAAGATTAGAGACTATCTCAAGCCGGATCTCCAATATCAAAACCTTAAACTCCAGCAATTCTGTTGTTATCATTGTGTTGTTGTTACTAATTATCTAGATTTTTAAAAGGAAGGAATTTTTTATTTCTAGGAAACATGCACTCTATTAGTGTTTATTTGCCAGCCAGAGTAGGCAGCTTAGATATAAAGGTGAATTAAGCATACTTCCTACTGTTTGAAATTGAGAGTCCAGTGGGTAAGACAGACAACTAAGCAATGGCAACAATCAAATTTAAATAATTTTAAATGTCTGTTTTCATCACTGATGTTAAAGAAGCATCATGAGAAGTGTTCATGGGCATAAAAACATCACCTAAAAGTTTAGGCCACCAAGACACCAAGAGTAAACTCTAGACTTGAGATTACAGGGAAGATGAGTTTGAGGATAATATATACTATTGAGTGTTATTGTATACCAGGTCCATGTTCTAAATATAAATATATATAAATAATTTCTTTGAACTGTTTCACCAAACCTGTGAAGAGGTACCATCATCTGCATTTTATTATTTAGGAAATAGGTCCTGATACTCGCCTAAGGTCAGAATGGTGGAACTGGAAATTGATGGGGCATGTTGTTTCTAAAATCTATGGTTTTAACTCCTAGGTTGTACTGCCTAACTTAGGGGGGAAATGTGCTTTGTAGTGTTGTAGCAACATGAAAAATTCAGTTAATGCTGTTCTGAGAAGAGATTCCTTGTTCTTTGGCTACATGTTGCTAAGTCCTCTTAACAAAACGTAATGAGTGAAATAAAGAATGGTTGAACTGGGAGAGAGCTGGTCAAGACAGTTGCTGTACTTGTAGTAAGAGAAGAGCTCAGTGTTTACAAATCAGGAAGAAGGGAACAAGCAATTTAAAATAATTTTATAATTTTAGACTTGGACCTTAGAAAACATGTAAGTACTGGAACACTTTTGCCAGACAAAATTTATGCAGTTAAATTTGGTCCATTTTATCCTGCCTCTGCTTTAAGCACCCTACTCACCCCTGGACCCCTGAGGAGTTCAGTTGGTTCCTGATGTGGACACAAAAGTAAAACCGTTGAGATGAAAAAGAATGTGTCCAGAAAAGGAACCATAAATAAACTCTTGGCCAATTATGTATTAATATCTCTAAATTACAAAGCAGAATTTTGCTAGAAAGTTTAGTAAAACATCCTTGAAGTTATCTTCATTGGCCTTCTACACTGTTCCTCATTAAATTGTTTTGCTAATTAAAAGTGCTGGGTTGTAGCTTTGTTTCATTTATTTAGTCCTACAGATGAAAATGTAAGCTTTGAATGCCTTGGACAGGTACTGTCACAAAATTCAAAATTCTGTTCTTTTGGATATCTTTGTTATGCAAATTTTCGATCTTGCTGAAATTAGCAAATCTTGGTCTACAGTTTCCAACACCATAGTCATTTTTTTTTGTACTGATTAGCGCTAAATAAAAAGGATATTATTCACTTCCTTAAATTTATCTTCAACATTTATTCCTTGGACAATAAGCCATTGGTTTGATTGCTACCTGATGCTAGCTTCACTGAAAATAGCTATTAGGATAAAACATGCTTGCATTCTTAACCGTAGAAAGTTACAGTAGTTCCAAACATATAGTATTATTGGAGATTGGTTCTTTTACTCACTGCAGAGATTGTCCAAACAACTGTCATTTGGGTGGCAAGCACTGCAAGTGGATCCTTTTTTATATGGCCAAGTTGGGTAATTTCCTCTATAAAATAGAAGAAAATTGTCCGTTAGGAGAGAGATTTTTGTTGTTGCTGTTTTGCAATTGCAATTTACTGTGAATCCTTGACTAAATCCATAGGATGGAAGTCCACAGATTCAGAGTGTTAGTAAGAGAAGTGGAGAGAGGGAAGCGGAAATGGAAGCCTGTTAATATTTAGAGTTCATTCGGTGTGCCTTTGTCTATTAACCTATGTCTTAATCCACATAACCTCATTTAATTCTTAAGGCATTGCTGGGAGAAGTTATTTTTATTTGTTTTGTAGACAAGGAAACTATAAAGCTCTAAGAAATTAAATACTATGCCCAAAATCACAATATATGTCACAATATGTACTAGAATGAAACCTAGATTTGGCTGGCTCCAGGGTAATGCTCCCTCTGCTTACTGTCTGGCCTATATAATTACTGCCATCCAAAAACTTATCTATCTTAGAAAAGGTGTCCTGACCCACATTTACTCTTCTCAGGCTAAGCCTCTATAGTTTTTATTGGATAGAAGGCATTTGGCTGGGTAAGTGCCTAACAAAAGAAATAGAAGAGATACGGAGGAATTTCTAAAGTGTAATTTGTTTTCACATAAAAGACGCGATATAAAAGATAAAATCACTAAATACTCCTTCTGTGCTAGGCACTGTTCTTAAGTATAAATGAATTTTCACACTATCCTTGTGAAGAAAATGCAGTTATTTATCCCTATTATAGCTACAGGCTGAGGCACAGTATAAGTAACTGACCAAAGTCACAGATTAAAAAATGAAATAATACCCAACATTTTATGTTGCCGTAAATATCTTCAGAGTAGTAGTGATGAGAAGCTGTGTATCTATTTCAGTGAACCCGCCATTTTACTAATCCTTTTTGGAACTCTACTTTTGGAAAGGAGTTAATTTTTTCGCCATGGTACCTTTTGGCAGCCTGGTAGAACCTATGGACTCTTCCTGAAAATTGTTTTAAAATGCGTAAAATGAAGTTCATAGGATTATAAAGGAAACTTATTAAATTGATTATCAAAATGATAAAAATATTTGTGATGTAGTAATATGTGCTTATTAAGTATTAGATACTATCTAGCAGACAACCTAAATTTCAAAGTAGTCATGACTAAAACTATTTTGTGACAATCTGCAGCCACTAGAAGGTGGTATGAAAATATTCGTGATATTTACAAAGATACAGTAGTGCTGATACAAAGTCAAATGATGCTATGACCGGAGTGTTACTTTTCATTCATAATGAAATGTTATTTTCAATAGAGGTTAGTGAAAATAAAGATGTTACTTTTTCCTAATCCAAGTTCATGAGTTTAGCTAATATATTTAACTCTAAAGTTAAGAACTCGCCCTTTAGAAATATTAACAACTCATTTCCAAACCAAAATATATGTTCTAATCTCATTTGTCTCCAAATTAATTTAGTTTGTTTCAGAAATTAAATTTAACCCCGTGCTTACCCTACATCAAGGAAAATAGTCAAAGGAATGTAGTAAAGATTACAATAACAATCACAAAAGATGTCCAAAATGGACATAATGGTCATTGGAATATCTGTCGTTGTTAAAAAGCACTTAACCACTGGTTAAGTTCTAGAATGTTTTTAATAAAATCACTTATGCTACTTCGTAGTTTAATTGTGTATCCCAAACTGTAAAGAAGAGAGAAAAATTGCTACTCCAAAAACAAGCTAAAAGCAAGGCAGTTGTGAGTTCTAGGGAAGCAGCAGAAGTCATCTTGGGGGAAGCATGCTAATGGAAAAGCCTGAATGTCTAGATGAGAGTGATTAAGACAAAGGGACCTAAAACCTGCTGTCCAATAAAGAGGCAGTTTTAGATTTCCTCTGGTAGCCTGAGAGAGAAAGGATTGGGGCCCTGGGGTTCAGGGGAAGAGAAAAGACAGCTCTTCAAAGAAAAAAAAATAGGAGAAAGGGTCCCCAAGGCAGGGGTGGCCAATATATATTAGGTACTGTAAAGACATTTCCACTCCTGTGTTATAATTCTGTCTTCCACTAATCCACTCTGAGCAAAGGTCTGTTACACAGGATAGCCCTGCTCAGTGGGTCCAAGGGGAATGAAGGAGAGAGTTGTGTCTGGAAAAATATAAATCAGACCTGAAGCAGACAGGAGGAGAGGGGTCAAAACCATACTGGGCAATGGAAATGAGCTGAGGGCATGACTCCGGAGCTGGAATACAGGTGACTGGAGAATCAAGCACACCACATCCCATTCTGAAAGAATCTCAGAAGTTTTGGGGAGGATACTGGACTTAGAATTACGTACAATGGGATCCTATAATGTTTTGAATATAGAAGAAAAGCTCAGAAGAAAGTGAGGACATTCCTAGTTGGTCTCTGTGCTTCCCCACTTATGTCCTCCAGTCCATCCTCCATTCTTCATGCAGAATTGTCTCCACATTTAAAGCAGGCCTTCTCACTCCCTCTTGTGATGTGAAAAAAGCAAAATCTGCCAAGGCCTAGAAGGCCCTGCAAGATCCGAGCTGCCTCTTTCTCCCCAGTTTCATCTCATGCAGCAGCCCAAGTACTCTGTTGTTCTGACTATTGAATTCTTCCCATGGGAGCTTTGCAGTTGTTTTCTCCACAAGACATCTGTTCCTGAAGTTATTCACATGTCTTGTTCTTTCTCATTCTCTATGCCTAAGCCTAAATATAACACAGAAAGCTCTTCCTTGATCATTTTAGCTCAGATAAGGACCCTACCTACTGATTGTGCCACAATATTTATATCACTTTTATTACTCATCATAATTATTTACTTTTTTATTGCCTATCTGCCTCATAAATATAAATTCCATAAGGGCAGGGACTGTATTTGGCTTGTTCTCCTTTGAAGCTGAGTAAACAAATACTTGTTGAATAATTGAATGTATGAATGCATTTATTTATATGAATAAATGAATGTTACTCAGTCCTTTTAGAAACACTATATCAGGTTATAAGTTTTAAAACTTAGTATTGTTTATAACTCTGAAAGCAAGGTGACTCTAAACCAGGAGAATTCACATTTGTACCTCTTTATCATAACAGTAATAATTACGAATATGTCTCAAATAATCACCATTGCCAGGCATTGCATATATTTATTGTTTTACATAGTTTTCTCATGTAATTTTCATAGCTACTCAATAAATATGTGCTATTACTATCCTGATCCTTTAAGGAGGAAACAGAGTCAGAGGTTAAGTAACTTGTCTGAGGTTACACAGTAAGTGAACCAAGATAGTAGGTCTCAAGAGCCTATATTTTAACCATTAAGCTATATATGTCATGAAAATTAACCACTGATTGACTTACGGTTTTGGCTAGTTTTTCCTGAGTTTCCCTTATTTTCTGACTCTGAGGTTTTAAGTCAAAGTTGTTATTTTCTGAATGACACTTGGTTTTAGTCTCTTAACTTCCATACCCACAGTCAGACTATCAAACATCTCTTCTGCATATTACTACAGGTAAAGAGAGAGGTTTCTTCTAATAAGTCTTTAGGAATGCTGAAGAGTGGTAAAATCCAAATGAAATTCAAGGGCAACAAAGAAAAAATTGATATATATATTTATACATATGAAAATTGTTATGTATATGACAAAGGGCTAAAAGCTTCAAAATATTTACAACTACAATAAAGCATTAAGAAAACCATACTAGTAGAAAAAGGAGTAGATCATATGATTCACAAAAGAAGAAATTTAATTTGGCAATCAGGTGAAAAAGATTTATAATCACTAGTAATCAAAGAAATGCAAAAGAAAACAGGAAATACCACTTTCTATCAAATTAGCACTGAGAAATTATAATATCCAGCACTGATGAGGAGTTATAAATTGATATGATAGTGGAGGATAATTTGGCACTATGTATTTTAAAAAACTTAAAAATGATCACACCTTTTACTTAGTATACCATTTCTAGGAATAGTAGGGAAACAGATGTGACCAAAGACTTATATTCAAGGTTGTTCATCATAGATTTAAAAAAGAAAAATAGGGAACAATCTAAATTCTTCAGTAGGATAGCTGTTGTGTGACCATCAAGAGCACAGACTCAGGAGCCAAACAGCCCAGATCACAGTCCACCACGACCTTCACTAACTGGGCAACCTTGGGCGGGCTGCTCACTCTGTCAGTGCCTCAGCCTTCTCATCTAAAACAGGGGTATTAACGGGACCTATCTCACAGGCTTTTTGTGAAGATGAAATGAGTTAATGTATGTGAAGCACTTAGAGCAGCGCTTAGTACATAGTAAGCACAAAAGCATTCTCTCTGTTTTATAATTATTGACATCACGCTTAAAATTTTAATGATATGGAAAGTGCTCATGGTATAATTTTAAGTAAAAAATAGTGTGTTTCCACTATGATCCCAGTTTTTAAAATATGTGTATGATGCATATATATATGCCACACATATATATATGTTTAAAGGAAATTGGGGGAGATGTCATATGTCTTCCCTGTTTTCCAAATGGAGAAAAACTGTATCCATTTCAAAAACTAAACTGTCAAAGTGAATAAGTTATAAAAATTGAGGAATTCAGAGTTATTACTGTTTTGAAAATGGTGTAAAATTTGCCAGGTTTTTAATAAACCAATAAATATGAGGTAACATCAATCCTCCCATTTTGTGGTGTTATTACCATATCCAATTAATCTATGTCACTGAAAACAGTTTTGCTACTTTAAACATGTATTTGTGTGTGTGTTTATGTAGTACTTATAAAAGGTGTACACACACACACATACACACACAAACACATACAAAGAAAAATGTACCACAATGTTAAAAGAATAAGATCTCTGGGCAGAGAAATTAAGGATAATATTAATTTTCTTTTCTACACTTTATTTAGAGTTTCTGCAAGGAAGATAAATACTTCTAAAATAGATATTTAAAAATTTAGAAAGAGGTCGATTTGGGCACTTACGCTGGTCCATAGTTGCATATAAAATGTGCTACATTGGTAAGAGATGTATAGCCAACAGAAACTCTTTGACAGAATTGTACTGCGCAGCCAACTTTGTAGCTATCTGCCCAAACAACCTGAAAGAAAATATGGATTTTTAACAAGAGAAAGATATAAAATGAACATTTGAGTATGATTAGGCTTCATAAACATGGTTAGGTAGAACAATTACCACCAAGGAATTTTTAGGGACTCATAATTCAGTGGAAACAAGACTTGTGAATTGTTATTAATGGTGTGTGTGTCTCTGTGTGAAATAAACACATAAAGAATAACAGAGGGGGAAAAAAAGAATAATAGCATTTGAGATCTTGTTCCCAGGTTATGCCCATCGGTTTGGCTCAAATAAATTCTTATAAAAAGTCTCAAAAAAAAAGAAGATAATTTTTGACAGTGCAACGAAGAAATAAAACAGGGTCACATGATAGAGAGTGACTGATGGGGAAGTGGAAGCGGCTTTAACTTGGGTGTTCAGAGAAGATGTCTCTGGAGATGAAGGATTTAAGCTGAGATCTGATTGATGAGGAAGCAGCACTTAGGATGACTATGCAGGAGAGCTGTATGATGGAGGAAGAGCATTCCATGCAGAGGGAGCACTCAGGGGCAAAGGCCCTGAGATGTGAGTGGCAGAAAGAAGGCGAAAAGAGCTGGGATCCAGTGGGTGGGGGAGGATCAGAAGCAATGATGCTGAGCAGTTGCCTTCAGAGGCAGAGGAGCAGGTCCCTGGGAATCTTGTAGGTAAGTGAATGATAGGCTCTTTTTTGCATCTTAGGAAGATTAGTTGGGTTGTTATAAAGTAAAAGGACTGAGAGAGCAAGGGTAAAGGGCCGGGGGGTGGAGGGGGGAGGGCATTTGGGAGGCAGTCTCAGTGGTACAAGAAAGAAGAAAGAGGTCTGTCGGGAGCCTTAAGCCTGCACCCGAAGATAATAACCACATCCTGTTGTCAAGAACAAACTCTGCTAGCTGTAACCTTTGGATAGCCACGGCACTGTGAAGCACCCGTCATTTCCCGTGTCCTTGTTCCCCATTCCGCCACCTGTAGAGCGGGAGCCTGCAACTGCTGGCACAGCCCATCTGTTTCTGACTAGCCAAGTAGAAATCACCTCATCTGGTGGACGCCAATGAGCTTGTAACGAATACTCTCTTCCCTGATCAGTCCCGCCCCTACCCTCTCCACTTGAGTGTATAAATATAACCGCTTGAAAATAAAGTTTTGAGGCTTGATCAGAACACTGTCTTGCCTCCATTCTTTTCTCCCGCCCATGTTTTCTTCAAGGTACGGTCCTCCTCGGGTTCTACGCAATAACTAGGTCCTGCAGGTCGGGACAGAGGTCACATTTGGATGATGGTAGGAGAGTTTCTAAGAACTGATAAAGC